GGCTTTCTTTCTATAAATCTAAAAGGCTCTAAGATTTTAAAATACTGTTAAGTTTGGTAGGAAGTAATGGCACTCAACTAAGAATAAGAATAATTTGGAATAAGAAGAACAGGAATATTTTGGATAATAATTTAAAAATTAATTCCAGTTTTACTCTCTTAGAATATTTTCTCTTCGTTTTTTTTTTTTTTTTTTGGATTAAGACTCCTAATTTTGTTTTTCTCTTATCAGAGGGATAATTTTTTGCTAATAACTCTCTAATTCTACATAAACTGTTAAGAAGACTCGTCTTTCTTCCTTTCTATATTCGGCAGATCAAGACTCTTGATTTTATATTATCCTGAATTTTTGGATACCTAACCTCTTAAGTTTTCAAATATTTTAAAATTGCTTTACGATTTATTGTTGAGAAATGGCGCCCAACTAAGAAAAAATAAGTTCCTAAAAATAAGGAATATTGGTTTCTGCAACTCGGTTCTTCGTAAGTTCGATTGTATCTCTGTTACAAACTGTTTATTATTTCTCCAGGATTATTTCCAGTTTATAAGGCATCCAACCCGATTTTTGTCTTCCATTTCCTTAATTTAAAATTTTCTCATATCTTGGCTTCCATTTCAAAGCTCTCACTGGCATTTCTTGATATTTCCCCCCAAAATAATGCAGTACATTATTAAGAAAAAAAATATCTTTTGGTGGCGTGTTTTCTGTGGAGGATCCTTCTTCGTGTTCCCTGTTTTTTTATTTCCAAAGAATTTTAAAACTTTTGTGTGTCGCATCTTGTTAACAATGTAGAAGACAAAATGCCCAACTCAAACCAAAAAAAGGTATTGCTTAATTTTCAAAATAAGCCTAACAAAAAAAAACTGAAAATGTTAAGGGGTAACCCAGGTTTATTTCATTTTAATTAGGTGGAGTTGAAAATTTATATCCCAAAAACTACTCACATATAAATTTTGGGTTTGTTAACAAGGATACAAAAATAAAATATGTCAACACATGCCATGATAGAACTTAAAAATTTAATTTGAAAACAACACTTCATAAACCTCGTACATAGTTTTCCAATAGTGGACACGCATTTTTGGCCTTTTTTCTGCGGTTCCTTTTTGCTGTTGTTGTTAATTTTGTTGAAAGCTTTTGTAAGGCCTGGAGCCATCAAAAATGTGGTAATAATCATATGTGTGTTATTATTTAGGCCCACATAAACAGCAAACGTAAATTGTTACCAAAAATAACCAAAAACAAAAAAAAAGAAAACAAAAAACGGACATAAAAAAGAAATTAAATATAAGTGGAGTTTCAGGATTGTCAAATACAATATTTGTAGTGCTGTGTTTATATATCTTCTTGTTGTTGGTTTTATTGTTAATATCTTGCTGTTTTGTGTTGTGCTGGGTTTTTTATGATTCAAGTCATAAAAAGACAGCCAACCATCAAATATAACGCACATTATTCGTATTGGCCGGCCACCACTGTTTAATGGTCATTAGTCAGCAAAAAAAAAAAAAAAAAAAAAAAAAAAAAAAAAAACTGGAAAAATATAAACTAAAGAGGGAGAGAGAACTCACACGCACACACTCAGCGACTTAAGTAGACACAACCAATTACAAGTGTCTCTCCACCTTTGTTTAATAATGCCAACACATTTCCCATTTGTTGTAATTCCCAAACCCTCCCAACACCACCTCCGCGTCCACACTGTGTTTACAATTATAGCACTCCCTAGTTTCTAACTTCACTTTATTTTCAATTAATTCAGAATTTTGTAAGAGTGACACACACACAGACACAAACATGGCTTTACTAAAAAGAAAAGAGAAGTTTTTTTTAATTTTCCTCCCAAACAAAATTTTAATAACTACATTTTAATCCCTGGTACTATTCAACTCCCTCCCCTGGCTTCTACATTTGGGCTTCTAAACTAAACCTTGCGTAAAAATGCATTTTTAGAAAATTGAAAATTATGAAACCAACTGTAAATGGCCTTAACGCCCCACAATTTTTTTTAAAAAGCCGAGCTCATTTTCTTTCGGCCAATACAAAACTAAAATGACCCTCCAAAATAGCTTAGAGAATTAGTGTTTTTTGTGTTTTAGAACATCTCCGTAATATACCTCGAAAATTTGTTTTCAAGCGAATAAATGTGTTTTAAAATTTAACCAAAAATGATATGAAAAAAAACCTCTAGTCTAGGTCCACTTGCTCGATTAACCATCATGTAATTGCCCAGACATTAACAGTTGTAGAACACAAACGTAAAAAAAAGTTTGGAGTACCTCAAAATTAGACAGTTAGCTGACAAAAAAATAAACGTTCATCATTTACGCTTGTCTGAACTCTGAGTGAGACCATTTAACCTTAACCCAGACAAAACGAAATGACCTTTGTGTAGAAGATGAGAGGGGGGTCAAAAGAAAAAATCAAAACAAAATAAAAATATTATTTAAAAAAAGTAAACAAATTATTGTAATTAGAAAAAAAAACCGTGAGAGAAATTTTTAGAGCTAATATGCTCTCAAAGAGAGTGAGAGAAAATGTTTAAAAGAGTCTCAATATGAGGTTATTTAAGGGACCTACTAGACCTCTGAAAAGGGAAAAATCTGTTGTAGTGCCTAGAACGAAATTAAAAACGCTTTCAAAGAGAGAGACTTTTTATTGGAGTCTCAATTTCAGGTTATCTATATACAAAGCACAGATCTTCTTTTTTCTCTGGTCTCAATTTGAGGTTATCTAGACCTTCGAAATAGGGAAAATCTACTGAAGAGCCGTCAGAGAAAATTGGGTCTATAGAAAGAAATTCAAAACGCTTTCAGAAAAATAGAGAGAGAGAGAGAGAAGGAGCACATATTTACTATTTACTCTGGGAAGTGAAACTTGCCCGCGAGCGGGATTGCCCGATAAGTTGGAATTTTATATAGAGTTTACTCTTCACTCTTGTTGTTTTGTGTGGCAAGGCTTCCGAGTCACTCCTGATTATAAAATAAGAGTGGGAGCTGAATCGCTTGAACACGAACTTTAGTAATTTTTTAAAATATACATACATACAAATACAACAACAACAAAACACAAAAACTAAAAGAGTGCTCGACAAGAGTAGAATCTGCTTTGAACGATTTTAGTTCCCACTCTAAAGCAAGAAAGGCATACTCGAGCTCATTCGAGCGAAACTAAGAAACAGAGTGTTGCTGCTTGTTTTGTTTTTTTTTTTTCTACTCCCATTAGTGATTCCGCTCGACTTCGAGCGACTTTTACTCTTTACTCAAATTCGAGCGAATTATTCGTCTGCCTATAGAGAAATTATAAATTTTTTATTTCGAAGACTTAAAGAGCCTTTGAAAGTTGTTCCTGTAAAAGGAGGTAATCTTAACTTTTTTTGGGGGGAAAGAAGGCCAGTAGAAGCACAAGAAGGCCAAAAAGTGCACCGATATGACTCATTTTTAATACCAATAATTCTGGATATAATGCAAATATCTCCATTAAATTTTAAAGCTCTTTTCTAAATGGTGAGAAATATATCTCAAACTATAGTCAAAACCTATAAAAGCCTTAACCACATTTGGCCTAAGAACCCGAAAATCCTTTGGGGTTTTGATCCACAAACCGGGTACTATGAAGCCTGTATGGCATTGAAATTAGAAGAGAATTTACAGCACATTGGGAACGAGGGTTAAATTTTTGGGGAAAAGGTTTTTTTTTTAACAAAAATTTATATTTTTTAAATGGTCTATATTCATTATACAAATGCCTTTTGTTCCGAGACTCAGCATGAAATTTGCTCTAGATTAATTCTTACTTTGACACTTTTCCCAAAAAATCAAGTATAAAGGGAGATTTTGACGTGGATAGGAAAACGTGTTAAATAAACAATTTTCACTTGTAGTCCATAATTTTCAATTGTAATTTTCTTGAAAACTATCAAACCTAGATATATGGTTTATTCTAAGATTTATAATGAAATTTTGTGGGAAATATTTCTTCCTTTGACGCTTTCTCCCCAAAAAACTAAATTTTATATAACTTTCAGACGTCAAGTCGAAAAAAGACCAAAGAAAAAATGATCAAAAAATTGGAATTTTTTTTCGTTTTTTTTCATCATTGATATCCTTTTTTTAATATACCATGGAATGAGAGATTTTTTTATTTTGGAGTATTATAGTGAAATTTGATGAGGAATATTTTTGTCTTTGACCTCATTCTTCTACAATGAATGCATAAACTCGCATGGAGTACTGTTTCAAAAAAATTTAACTCAACTTCAACTCAAAAATGTGTTCTTAATATTTATGCATTTCTGGGACCTGTTTTAGAATTCTATGACAAATAATTTTGTAAAATATTTTAACTTGCTACGATACTGGGAGTTTTGAAACATATTTTGAAAGGAATTTTCAAAAAAAAAAAAATTAAAAATGACAAAAAACATCCCTTTGATGATTCGCTTTAGGTTAGATATTTCCACCAAAATAATTCACGTATCGTTGTATCCAATATTGTCAATAAAATCAAGGGATTCGAAGGAATTTTCAACTGAAAATGTCCAAAATTTGGAAAAAGGGAGTTTGAAACATATTTTGAAAGGAATTTTGAAAAAAAAAAATTAAAAATGACAAAAAACATTTCTTTGATGATTCGCTTTAGGTTAGATATTTCCACCAAAATTATTCACGTACTGTTGTATTCAATATTGTCAATAAAATCAACGGATTCAAAGGAATTTTCAACTGAAAATTTCCAAAATTTGGAAAAAGGGGGAAATGGATCCCTATATTTTGCTTACTTCAAAACGCCAATACATTTGTCTCCCTTTTTAGCTCTAATTTCACAATCTAGTGGATTATTAAAAATTGTTGCATTTAATCGCCTTACAGTAATCATGGCATAAATATAGGCTATTATTGTAATTGTTGTTGGGATTTTTGAAATTCGATAAAATTTTTTATTTAATTTTTTATTTTTACGATATTAATTGTTTTATTCTTCCATTTCCGTAATTTTTGCAGAAGGCCGTGAATGTGTAAACTGCGGAGCCACCTCAACGCCACTGTGGCGACGTGATGGTACCGGCCACTATTTGTGCAATGCCTGTGGTTTATATTACAAAATGAATGGACAAAATCGACCACTAATTAAGCCAAAACGAAGACTGGTAAGTTCTTTTAAAATTCTCTTCAAAAAATCGTTCATAATAATAAAAAATTTAACGGAAACTGATTTATGTGGAAATTGAGAAGCTTCAAAAATTAATAATAAAAAAGTCCCCTCCCCCCTAGCTTGATAGGTTTCAAATGTCATAATATTTTCTAGAAAAAAAAAACCTCATATTAAAATAATTATTATTAACTCTTGTGGAGTTGGAAATCAAAAATTTGTGAAGAGACTTGAATAGACAGAATCTTTAGACTAAAGAGCCAGGCAAGTTAACTGCAACCGTGATGATGACTATGAGACAGACCTCAAAGATGATGACAATTTTTATTTTCATATTTTTTGTATTTTTCTGAAAAGCTGCTGCCACACACTTGTCATTTTATGCATTCAAGTGTCTTCTTGACGTTCGTTGTTGTAATGCTGTGCGCCTGGGCGTCAGATGGTCATCTTTTGGCCAGTTATCTCTGCGTTCCTCGCTCATTTGTGGTGGAGTAGTAAATATGTGGGAATTAATTTTCAGCATAACTACTTACATATGTCTCGTTTGGATGATTATATCGTGGACAGACATTTTATTGGTATTTGGAATGATTATGCTCGTTGATGTTGGTGGCGCCTAACTCAATGGACCCCAGTTTTGACCAAAAAAAAAAAAAAAACACTGAAATCAACAACTGATTATCATTTGCTTTGATTTGGAGTGAGAAAAAAGGTTTGCCCAGAGATTCTTGTTTTGTTTCGATAATTTTTATGTGGTGATAAGAGCTTCTTGTTGACATTGTTGGGGGGACAACATTATTGTGTATATCAGCTCATAATCAAGATTATGTTAATAATTTTTTTTCTTAACTTTTTTTTTTTTTTTTTTGGAATATTGGTCTATTAGTTGGTGTATTGATTTTGTTTACAGTGATTAGCATAAAACATCGATAAAAAAAACCTCCCTCGTTTTTCTCCTACTATCAAACCAAAAAATTCTTTTGGGGCATCTTCATTGTCTGCCAGCCAGACAGCTAGCCATCCTAGCTGGCCTTTGGCTATGAGCCCCACTCACCTTCATCATTGCCACCATCACTAGTGGCTGGCTGGCTGTCTGTCTGTCTGACAGACTGACTGCATGTTTATGACTCTGACTAAAAGTCATGGATATATGATTGTGAGTTTTAGTTGCTGTCGTCGTTGTTGTTGTTGTAGTGTATTTTGATACTTGGATCATGTCTTTTATGAGGGAATTCCCAAGAAATTCACAGCTGGACATTGAAAGACTGTTGACAATTTTTTTTTTCTTGTCTGGTCGAAATTGTTGTTCCTTCTCTTTCGTTAGCAGGCATTACGTGAATGTTGATTTTTTTGTTGTTGTTCCTTTGGATGTTCCAAATCAACATCCATAGCAGCTCAGCTACTTTTCCAATGATCATTTATTTATTTGTCTGTCTGTCTGTCTGCCTTCCCAAATAAAAAAGTGTTGAAAAGATGTCCAACAAATTAAAAAATAAAAAATTCACTGAATTTTTGCTTTTGGGTTTAATTAAATTAGTTGAGGAGAGGGAGGGGGTTATAGAAATCGATAGCTTTGGCTTTGTTGTGTATGGAATGTCTCTGTAGGTCAACAGAAAGGAGAGGCCCAAGAGAGGTGGATGGCCAGCAAAATGAAAATATTTATAAATAGATTTTTATAAAGAAATCTGTGAAAAATGTCACAATATCTGGACCGTTTCTGTAACTTGAAAGGGAAGCAAGCACCACAAATTGGATGTTTCCAGTCTCATTTTTTTTAATTTTAAAATTTTTTAAATGTAGGCTTATCTATTTTTCGTTGCTTTGAAATCGGTATCATATTCACAACCCTGATTCTATAACTGGAACTAAAAAATTGGTTAGACAGTTCTCCCTCCCTCCAAACCTCTCACTCTCTCTCTCTCTCTCTTAAAAATTAAAATTAAAAAATTGAGACTATATTAATTTTTAAAATGTAGGCTTATCTATTCCTCGTTGCTTTGAAATCGGTATCATATTCACAACCCTGATTCTATAACTGGAACTAAAAAATTGGTTAGGCAGTTCTCCCTCCCTCCAACCCTCTCTCACTCTATCTCTCTCTCTCTCTCTTTGGGAAATAAGGTCTAACTGTAATAAAAATACCCTTTCAATCTTTCATTTCCTTCCCATTTCTATAACTCGAACGCTGAAGTGAGTGCCACAGAAAAAAGCCAGAGTCCAAATTTTGTAGCCCTCTCTCATTCTCTCTCAATATCAAAAGACATATTTTGCCATAAAATAGTTCTATCCTCTCCTTTAATTGAAAGTCATGTTTCTATAACTCAAACCAATTTTTTCTCTCATACTCCCAAAAACTTGCTTAAGTTAATCACTTTTCCCTAAAGTTAAAGGAGTTTTCTTTCTTCTCTTTTCATACAGAACCCTGTCTTTCGTAGGAACTCCCCTTTTTGGATAGCTTCCTAGCCCTGTTCCTATAGCTCGGCACTGAAATTAAAAGATTTTGCTCCCTTGATCTCCACCCATAAAAAATAGCGATAATCAGTTCTCCAAATTTCCTTGCTTCAGTTTCACTTCACTACTCTCTCATCCTCTTTTCTAACTCTCTTCCTATAGCTCGAAAGTTAAAATGAGAACCACAACGAAATAAATGTCTCTCTTGATAACCAAAGAGAAAAGATCCCGCTTCATTTCATTACTCTCTGATTCTCTTTCCTAACTCTCTTCCTATAACTCAAAAGCTGAAATGAGATCTACAACGAAATAAATGATCTCTAAAGAGAAAAGCACTCGCATAGAGTTATTTACTTCTCTCTAAAATTTGTATGTCTCCCACTTCCTTTCTTAACCTTTCCTAATCATATTTACTCGACAAATGAAATGGGAGCCTCAAACAAACATTTTACTCTCTTCACTTAAAAATAGAAAAACATTATCTCAGTTCTCTCAGAAATATTGATATCTTCGTCATTAGAACTTTGTTACTCTCTCATACAATTCCCTTCCTAAGCTTTCCTATGTATAGTCCTTTTTTAGATGGCTTCATAGCCCTGCCTATCCCTATAACTCGAAAACTGGAACTAGAGCCACAGCAAAATATTTTGTTCTTTCGAAATTTAAGGTCTCTAGCATGAGCTTTTCTTCTAATTTCTTGTTATAAAGAATCATTTATTCTATCCCTCCCTCCTTAAGTTAAGTTATTGGTAGTAATTTTTTAGGGTCTTCCTATATCTCGAATACCGGAATGGGAGCCACAACTACATATTTTGCTCTCTTGATCGCCAAAGAACATTCTTAATCTCTTATTCCTTTCTCTCATAAATTTTTACTGGTTTTCTAGGCCTGTTCCTATATCTCAAATACCGGAATGAGAGCCACAACTACATATCTTGCTCTCTTGATTACCAAAGAACATTCTCAATCTCTTATTCCTTTCTCTCTTAAATTTGATATCGCTAGCATGAGAGTTTTATTTCGTCTCCTTCAATACAAAAAAATTCGCTCCTCAAGCCATTTTATTGGTGGTCCCCTTATGGGTGGCTTCCTAGCGCAATTTGGAACATTTGTCAAGTTTGACAGTACAGTGGTGGAACTTTTTTCTTCCTCCTCTTCATCTGCTGCTTCCCTGAACATTGAAAAATTTTTTTTATGGCTGGACACAGCGCCACCAAGCAAAAGTTCACTGCTGCTGACATTGGCAACAACAAAACTTTATTTTTAATGAATTCAAATTAAAGAAAACAATGTGTAGTACTTCACGTAATGCTAAAAATGCTGCACTCCTCCGCCCATGCTTCTCTCTCTCTCCCTCATGAAAAAAAGAAAACGAAAAAAAAACATTTCAATGCTTTTGTTCTCGACTGGATGGATGATTATTGTTGCGCTGGCCCGGTCTGGCCCGGCTTGAGTGGTGCTTTGTAGCTGGCTGTTCATTTTTAAGTTTTAAGGCTAAAACACATAAATTCTCAAAATGTTTTCATTGTTTCTTTAAGCTTGGCATTTTTAGCTGGCCTTTTGCTTTAATGTGTATTTTGCATATCCCTTACAGTTCTCAAATTGAATGCCACACAACAATGCTTGGTGTTTTTTTGTGTTGTTGTTTTTGCTTTTTGTTTCAAAGCTAAGGCGGGCGTTTGCCGTTTTATTATGAAACGACATTGACGTTTTCGTTTTGTTGTTGTTGTTGTTGTTGCCTTTTGCAGCTGCCGGCCAGCTTAGCTGCAGTTCAATAATTGCGTTTAATTATAAAGTAACACAAAAATAGGAACAATAATAAAGGAAAACTGCCAACTACCAGCTATGATATGCCTCTCCGCCAGAAATCTCGGTTAGAGTCAAACGTCCGGTTTTTTCTTTGAGCCGCAGATTTGTGTTTTTGTTTTTCATGAACTGGCCTAGCTGGCATTACAATTACAAGACAATTGGTAATGCATTATCAAATGAGCCAACTGAAGTTCAGAAAATTACCTTGACATAGATTTTGGAGAGGGCGTCCGCTGCATAATGTCAAGGATTTTGTTGGTCAAAGAAAAAAAATTAAAACAAATGTTCTGAATATTTTGAAAACGAGAAAGGGGACAGTTTTAATAGGTTGTTTTAATACTTCACGAAACGAAAACCTTATTCTAAATGTCTATCGATGTGGAATATATTTCATTCAGGACTATCACATTTTGTACAAATAACATTGGAAGAGGAGAACTGGGGAGAGGGTGGAGATGGGAGGGCGGAGTCAAAATTTTCATAAAACGGATTCTTTAAGACTTTATCTTTGAATCCTGCTTTAACACAAAAAATCCCTGACAACTTTGAATGGCTCAAATGATGGGTCTGGAAAATCAATATCAGTTTATAATGTCCCAGCAAACATTTTGAAGATAAAAACCTACCCCTCTAATTTTTCCTGGAGTTCCATATGCACTTTGATCGTATCCTTTTCAACCGTAAAAAACAACCTGACCTGACAACATTTAATTTGAGCCATTAAAGGTAGATTTTTAA